TATTAGTATTTATATTTTTATAATATATTTATAATTTAAGGTATTGAAATTTTTTTTTAAATGTTTCAACTCAACATTAATATTTGTGACTTCTGATTTTAATTGGGAAAAAAATTTCTGTCCAGACAAGATGATTTTCATTACTGTATGACAGTAATGAGAATTTGATTGGGGAAAATGTGCTTAATTCTCATGAAAATGTCATAATGCAAACTAGTTTAGTGGTCCTAAAAACAATTTTCTTCATGCAAAATCGTTCTTATTTTTCTTTTAATGTTTTGGGTGAAATGTGAGTGGATGCTTGCTTGTTAGATGGACCCAAATGGTTTTTTTGGGGAGCAGAGGAGTATGCTGATAAAGTGACATTTCCAAGCCTGGTGGAATGCACTTTTAAACAAATCAGTGTAGTTTCAAATATTTATTTATTTATTTGACCCCCATTTATTTTGTGTTTTCTCCCAAGTTGTGCATTTGTGTAGGGCTGTGCTGATTCTGAGCTGGGCCTCGGTGTGAGTAGCTGTAGTACATTACCTACATTCATTTATAGGTCAGTAGAACTTCCTGCTAATGTAAATGAAGAGAGACGATGGTAAACTTTGAAGAAGAATGCACCACTATAGCCTATTATAGCATTAGTGCTATAGTCAATCATTATTCTTTTTTCATCTTAAAAAAAGCAGATACTGCTTTTATGACATTATAGCCCCTGCATGGTGACGTTTAATAGAGTTGATAGAAAGATATTTGCTTGCAGACTTGGAGCAGAAAGTTTAGATTTCAGCAATTCAATTTCATTGAGAGAAAATGCATAGCTAGATATAAACTTCATGAATTGGCTGACTTTTGAATCAGAGTTTTAGCTTAAGATTTATTTTTTATTTTTATTACACCACTAGTTCTCAGACATTCCTTTTGGTGGAATAAATGTTTTCCAGAGGACCTCGTCTTAAATAATTCCTAACACAGATATGGTTTGGGACTCTTTGAGTGCAGTGATTCTATGAAGGGGTCTATGAAGATGAAATACAGGACAGCTCGTGTGGTTTACAGGAACCAGTGCTCAACTACAAGCTTAACTCTGCCCAGAATAGTTCATTTGTCTGTTACACTGTGTCCTATCTCAAAAATATACCGTCATTTATTCCTCAATTATTCTTTTGTACGCACAAGTATATTTAGGTGAACCTGAATGATATTTCTATAGTCAGGTGAGTTTTGCCTATTATTTTAATTTTTGCTTTTTGAAACTCCATAAGATGAACATTTAAATAGTTTGTTTTTACTGCAACACTCCAGGATGAATCTCATGAAACCTGTCAAGAACATGTCTAAATCATATTTCATCCTGAAATATAAAGAAAAACATATTATTCTGCATGAGAAAAATTAAACCTGTTTTTAGAATGAGATTTTACAGTATTAAAAATTGAGAAATAAAATGAATTTAATTCTCATTATGTCAACAATAGATCTCATTATTCTTTATGTAAAATATAATTAAAATTGTTTTGATTTTGAGACGATAAAATATGATCTACATTTTAATTTTCATGTTAATGAGATTCATCCATCTGGACTCTGCTGGCATGCTGTTGTTTAATTCAGACCGATTGTATATTTATCAGCTGCTGTTCTGATACTGTTCCATGTGTCAGAATCTCTCCATAGAAAACATTCAAAACCATCTACATCAGTCTTAATGCTGGTTTGTGCTGTGTTTGGGGGGGTCACTTCTGATGACACCTTACAATTTTTCACGTTATTGAAGTGTAGATTTCAGTATTTATTTTAAAATATTTGTTATATGGTTTATTAGTTGTTCAAATAAGTCAATGAAGAATGCACTTTGATGCCTTTAACTCCAAGCGTTCAGAAGAGCAGACTGAAGTATGCAAGCATTTTCCTGTGAAAACAAGCCTTCACGGCCTTTTCTGTCATTGTCAGGTTCAAATAGTCATTGATTTTGCCTGTATACGCTCGTTTTTGCATGCATACGGAGCATTAGCACATTAGGAAAATCTGTTTACCTAATATTTTAGTGATGTCGTGCAACCATCTTGTATCTGCAAAATGGGCATTTTTGTGAGACTATTAGTATTTTGGACTTTTTTTATTTTTGTTATGACAAGTTCAACAGTACTGCTTACAGATAAATGCTGTTCCAAACATACAAAATGTGTTAGATGATTTTTTTGTGTAATGCTGACGCTGACACTGACACATAAATCATTATAATGACGATATTGATATATTGACATTCCATCTGAAGTACCTAAAAAAAAAAGAACAATAAAAAGATCTTCCAGTACTACCATCATGTGTTCATGAATTTGTAATGAATCTTGGAGCTGACAATTGTTCTGTTTCTCAGTTTATTATTTACATTTTAAGCCAATGTAATAGAGAACAATATACAAACAAAAAGAATGTTTACAGAGCGCAGATTATGTAAATTAAAGTGGCTCTGGCATACATATAATGATATACCTAGACAAGACAGAAGGGCATTCTCCATGATGTAGGGCTGGTAGATTGAGCAGCACAGATTGTAAGGAATGGTTCGCTCCAAAATGAAACATTGCTGAACCTTTACTCACCCGCAGACCATACAAGATGTAGATGAGTTTGTTTTTCATTGCAACAGGTTTGGAGAAATTTAGCATTACATAATTTGCTCACCAATGGATCCTCTGCAGTGAATGGGTGCCGTCAGAATGAGAGTACAAACAACTGATAAAAACATCACAAGTAATCCACATAAGTCCAGTCCATCAATCAGTGTCTTGTGAAGCAAAAAGCTATGTGTTTGTCTCATCTGAATCAGGAGAGAAATATGCACAGATCAACTACTGTTAAGCAAAAACAGTCCAAAACTTTAGGTAGAATTATAATGGACTATAGACTGGTAGTTTGGACAGAATTAATGGTTTAAAGTTAAAATGCCTTCATAATGAATTTGTTTCTTACAAACACTCAGCTTTTCACTTCTCACAATGTTAATCGATGAACTGGAGTCGTGTGGATTATTGTGATGTTTTTTCAGCTGTTTGGACTCATTCTGACGGCACCCATTCACTGCAGAGGATCCATTGCTGAGGAAGTGATGTAATGCTACATTTCTTGAAATCTGAAGAAACAAACTCACCTGCATACTGAATGGCCTGATGGTGAGTACATTTTCAGCCAATTTTCATTTCTGGGTGATTTTGAGGTTAAGGCTGCAGTAACACAGGTTAATGACTATTAATTAGAACTAAACACATTCATGCACAGACAGCTCAGTGAATGTTAGCGGCCTCCTCATGTGTGCGCTGACACACATTCATGAGGTGGATCAGACATCATTTTTTGAGAACAATAAACAGGGATTGATGCACATACAGTATATTACAATAGGACAGTACCAATGTTCCATTCAGACCTGAGCAATGGACGTCAGAATCAGTCCACTTCCTCTTAAACCTTTAGGGGAAATTCACTACCAAGTTGGACCACTTTTGTTCACAATATTTCAGTGCAAAGAAATATTCTCTGTCTATTTCACCAACCACACTTTTTTGGCCACTTTTGTGTTATTAACCTAATTTGCGGGAATACACCAATATTAAAATAACCCGATAATAATTTAACTTGCTATGGCTGATAACTGATAAATGGCAGATATTAAAATTATTATTAAAAAAGCATCACAACATTATAATGTACGGTATGAAAAATGGATAATTATTTTGATTTGGTAACTATTAGATTTGGTAAAAACAGTGTTATTCAATTATCAGTGGGTTTAAAGATGAATTTTAAGTGAATGTTGGATGATTTTAAAAATACGGGAAACCAAACAACTGAACAAGCATGAACAATTAAATATAACGGCCAATAACCGTTATAATACCGATATGCTCATTCCTGTTGATGTTCATATTTTTTAACAATTTGGGTGCTAAAACAACAAATAGTATGTGCAAAGAAAATACACTAATAGTGGCTGCAGTTCATTCAGTGAATCCCCCCTCAATTTGAATTTAAATCTTCTCTCAGGATCTGTTCAGGGCTGCAATGGCTTTCAAATATTTGTTGTAATACCAGCATAACTAAACAGGACTTTAACAACCCTGTGTTGTGTACAGTACTTTACATTTTCCCATGAGGGTAGCTGACCTGTCATCGTTCTTAATGTGTGTGTGTTTGTGGGTAAAGTGCAGTCTATTGTGTGTGTGTGTGATGGTTTATTCCTCACTTCTCGTCCTCGTCACCCTCGCTCATGCTGCTGATGGAGGCCGAGGCACCCTTCGGGGACGTGGGCGGTGAGGTTCTGGGCATGGCCCAGCAGGATGGAGGTGACGGAGAGCGTGATGGGGAATAGTCCCTTGGTGGGCTGTTGCTGGGTGAGCAGCGTGGAGAGAACGCCTGGATCATACGTCCACTACGTTCCTGAAGCATTTGCTTCTGGAAAAATGAAAAAGTCATATTCAAAGATTCAAAAACAAACAAACAACTACATCTTTTCTTTTGTTTCGCGTTTTTCTTTTGTATCATTATATAGGTACATATACAGTGGGTACGGAAAGTATTCAGACCCCCTTAAATTTTTCACTTTGTTATATTGCAGCCATTTGCTAAAATCATTTAAGTTAATTTTTTTTCCTCATTAATGTACACACAGCACCCCATATTGACAGAAAAACACAGAATCGTTGACATTTTTGCAGATTTATTAAAAAAGAAAAACTTAAATATCACATGGTCCTAAGTATCTGTCCAAAAAGAGTTAGTTCAGCAAGCATTTTTTTTTTAATGTCAGTTTTAAATGTTCTACAAAACACATTTTACTTTATGCATGATATTCTTCAAAGTAAATCAGGATTGTTTTAATGAAGAAAAAATATAAATGTGATTTTATTTACATTATGCAACATTTTTTTTATCTATTATTTTTTTTCAAAACTACATTTGAAATTAAGTTAAGTTTGTACATACAGTGACTTAAATACATCACTTCTATGATGAGCATGTTTTATTCCTAAATTAAAATTTCTTTTGAATTTTTTTTTTAGTTCAGGTTGTAAAATGTCATGTGATGTGACCCAAAAAAGTTAATAATTGATGATATTTGCAAAAACAAAAATACATAAAATATTTATTATAAATTATATATACAGGTGCATCTCAGTAAATTAGAATGTCGTGGAAAAGTTTATTTATTTCAGTAATTCAACTCAAATTGTGAAACTCGATAAAATATCTATCATTTTTTTCTGAATAATGGTTAAGGAAGATATGTTTTATCAATTTGTTTCAGAGACGAGTGTTATTTTAGTATCATTTATTTTCTTATCGTTTTTGTTAATATTTTGAATATTATTGATTTTGGTTTTAATGTTTTTTGTGTGTTTATTTGTTTTTAATATGTCTATATCACATTTTAATTTTTAGTTATTTTAGTAATTTAAATGTAAAATGAGAAATGTGCTGACAAATAGCTAAAATAAGTTAAAAATACGTTTTCATTTTATTTTATGTTATTTCAGTTAATGTTTATTTTACTTCAAGTAATAAATTTTTAATGGCTCTAGTTTTAGTTATAGTGATAATAACCCTTTAGGTGAACAATTAATTTTATTTATAGAAAGAAAATGAAATTGAATTCAGCATTTATGTACATTTATGTTAGATCATGCCTCCACATCAGAAATATCAGATCCAGCCCCAGACGCCAGATCCTGTCAGAAAATATCCATTTGTCTGGTAACAGAACTACTAGTCAGCAAAATACACAGTTTGCATTTAAGGATCCTTCATTAAGTTCATTACTTACATTAATATAACTGACGTTCAGTTCTTTAGCGGTGTAGCCCCTCTGCAAGTTGCGTCTAGCGTACACGTCATAGTCTCTCACTATCCGGGTGATCAGGTCAGACGTTGAGATCCCTTCTGTCCTTTTAGTGGGCACAAACATACCTGAGACACTCACACATGTTAGATCTGGTCTGAAACACAAACACACACATGCTCTTAAGCGAAGGCCACTTTTCTTTACCTGCCTCCTTAATATGCTGGTACACGTCCTCAGATCCAGCAGAGGAGTATGGGATGTCGTCATGCGCCACAAAGTCAATCTAGAGAACATGAACCAGAGGGTTAACCGCAGGGAATTATGGGTACGGTATTGTGCTATGATGTGACCAAATAACTGACCTTGTGTTTTTCTAAAAACTCTTGGGTCAGAGTCCAGGGCGCATCGCGCAAAACCTCATCAACGTAGCGGCAATGTCTCAATGCCTCGTACCGCTCATCTTCTGTCATTACGGTGAAGCCCTTGTACTTGTGAGTGAGTTCATCACTACATACTTAACACACACACATAGATAATTCATCAGTTTAGGACCACAGAGTTCATAATTCAACATCTTCTACAGAATATTGATAAGCCTGGATCAGTAAATTAAACGTGTCTATACCTCCAACGATAAGGTAGGCGTTAGGGAACAGATTCTTAGCCTGCATCAGGGCACGAGCGTGACCAGAATGAAAAAGATCGAAGATGCCATCTGCATAGATTCGCACCGGCCGGTCCACTGAGAAAGGAAAATTCATGACACTTTTAGAAATCATTTACAGATCTAATGAAGCTTTCTGAAAACACACACAAAAAAGTTGTTCAATTTATACCGTTGTTTATTTTTTAAAATGTATTTATTTTTGGCATTTCTGCCTTTATTGTGACAGGACAGTACTTAGACAGGAAGCGAAGTGGGAGAGAGAGAGGGGGGAAGGAATTGGGAAGGGTCCACGAGCCGGGACTCGGGATGCTCAAAGCACAATGGTTCTATATGTCGGCGTGCTGCCCACGAGGCTACTGGCTCCGACAATAATTTTAATTTTTTTAAATAAATTAATCCTTTTTTTTTAAGCAAAGATACATGAAACTGATCGAAAGCGACAGTAAAATCATTTATAATGTTACAAAAGATTTCTATTTCAAATAAATGTTCTTTTGATCCTTCATCAAAAAAGTCTGAAAAAATATCACAGGTTTCACAAAAATATTAAGTAGCACAACTGTTTTTCAGCATGAATAATAATAAGAAATATTTCTTGAACACTAGGATCATGTAACACTGAAAACTAAAGTAATGATGCTGAAAGTTCAGCTTTATCTTCACAGGAATAAATTACATTTTAAAATATATTAAAATAGAAAACAGTTATTTTAAATTGTAATAAAATTTCTCAATATTACTTTTACTGTATTTAGCCTCGGTGAGCATAAGAGACTAGAGGTCTGCATTCCCACGGCAACCGCGGGACCAGACCAGATTTTTTGCGCTGCGTGATTAAATTCCCGAATAAAACGCAGTAGTGGTCGGTAACTCTGGTGTAATTTGAATGGGAGCAGGCGGTCTAACAATATCCCGTTCCCGACGTCCATTCAGAACAGCATATCTGCGCTTTATTCTTGACCACCGGTACAGCCTGCACTCGGACTGTTATGCACGCGCTGCACACATGCTTTCTGCGTCACACGTTTTATTTGCGGGGTCTGTGCGCTGCATGTGCATTACGATGCTCAGAGCAGGCTGTACCAGTGGCAAATACAGTGGTGTGAAAAAGTTTTTGCCCCCTTCCTGTTTTTTTAATTGTTTGCATATTTGTCACACTTAAAAGATTCAGATAATCAAACAAATTTGAATATTACAAAAAGATAACCTGAGTAAATACAAACTGCAGTTTTGAAATTATGATTTCATTTATTAAGGGAAAAAAGCTGTCCAAACCTGCCTGCCACTACGTGAAAAAGTAATTGCCCCCTAAATCTAATAACTGGTTGTGCCACCCTTTGCAGCAACAACTGCAATCAAGCGTTTGCGATAAATGGCAATGAGTCTTTCACAGGAATTTTGGCCCACTCTTCTTTGCAGAATTGTTTTCATTCAGCCACATTGAAGGGTTTTGGAGCATGAAAGGACTGTTTGAAGGACATTCAACTCGGTTTTGCTTAGCCTGTAATTTTAAATGACAGATGTCGTATTTATTTATTTTTCTCTGTGACACTTTTCCTACTGTGATAACAGACAAATGTCAAACGACTTTAGTATTTTGACAAGACGAATAAAAATAGCTAATAGGCTATTTTTGTACAACCTACATTTTTATTTTTTTTCTCTCTACGACACTTTTTCCTATTGTGTTGTAAATGTTAAACGAATTGTATCCTGACAAGATGAATAAAAATAAGAAATACAATTTTTGTAAAACATTTTTATTTTCTCTGACACATTTTTTCCTACTATGTTGCATAAAATATTAAACAAATTTTGTGTCTTAAGATAATTCATATAAATTCAAGTCAAAGTCAATAAATTCAAGACTCTTGACGAGACGAATAAAATAACACATTTTTGTGCAGACTACACTTTTATTTGTTAGTCTATCTCTCTTTCTTTCAGTAGCGGAAATTTAAATGTGAGATTCTGGAAACGAGATCTAAATTTAGCGGGAACGGTCGGGTCGGGAAGAAAATTATTCCAAGCGGACAGTGGGTAAACAAAGAGTGAATATGTAGAGGGAGAGGGTGGGTGCAGAATATAACCTTGCGGGAGCGGGACTAAAAAAATTGTCCCGCGCAGACCTCTATAAGAGGCTTCTTTCAAGAATATTAAAAATTTTAGTCAAAATTCTGGCCAAGGCAGAGTAAAAGATGTGAATAGAGTGGGCAACACCGTTACTTTTTTACTGTTCACTTTTTAAATTCAAAAACTTAAAATAGTCCTTTTTTATGTCCTTGAAAGACATAAAAAAAAACATTCAACCTTTCTCCTTTTGTCTCTTCTCCACTATAGCAGAGCTCAGTAATCATTGGCCAGCAGAACTCTGGTATGTGAGGAGTGACACTAGCTATGTTTCCATCCACCTATTTTTATGAGCTTTTTGGAATATTGGAATATACTGTATATCTAATTTAAAAATTGTATGCGCACAATTGTATAGGATAAACTTTTTATCCAATAAGAAAAAAAAGCACATAAACTACGATGGAAACACATTTACCGAATAAAATCCTCCATGCGTATCAAAAAAGTCATGTGACTTTGCGCTATGGGACAGACTAACCAGCAGACCCTTAATCTAGTCTTGCTGGGTCTGGTCCCAGTGGTGGACTATCCTACAAGCACTGCAGTTTTCTTTGACACTGATATGTGATCAGTTTAAGTAGCTTAATTCATCAATGTTTGATGGGGATTTGTGAAATGGGTCCAAATGACAAAAATAAACTTGCTTTTCACCAGAAAAGAACTTTCAGATGTGTTAATTTTTTTTTTTACACACGTACACTTACACAGTTGTTTTATCATGTGTTTTTGTTACTCTTTAGTAAATCAACTACTACAGATCTTGGACTTAAAAAGTCTTGCTATGGATTGTGTCAATAATTATACAGTACAATTTTGTCTTAACATATTGGGCAAATATGTTTAAATATTATTATACTTATATAACAAAATGTATTAATTTCTGTTTTTCTTTTTGTTTGTTTTTGAAAAAGTCTTACTGACTCCGAAAATGTTGAATGGTTGGGTGTGTGTGTGTGTGTGTGTGTGTGTGTGTGTGTGTATCCGGTTAGGTTCGATCCTGTTTATTTTATTGTGATTACATAAGTAATCAAGATATAATGAATGAAGTTACAAGCTTTAAAAAAAAAAAAAAGAAGTTAAGTTTAAGTTAATGTTTAAGAGCTTAAGGTGCATATTTCTTAGTGTCTGGTAGTTTATGAAACAAGCATATTAAATTTTTTAGGTTATAGCCTAACAGGAATGACCTTATTACAAAGGGAATATTTTAACTTGGTGTTCCATTCGTTATGATAACTGAACAGAGAAAATACAGACTAACCAGGCGTTCCAAGTCGAGCTTGCTCTACAGACAGCTTCTCATGTGGAGCCCGACACTCACAGCTCGTCTCCTGGGTAAATATGGCTGGTTCTATAAGAGTCTGCAGAGAAGATTTAAGAATATATTGATTTGAGAAAAATTATGAGAAATAAATAGACATTGCAGCTTTCCAAATAAAATACTGTTTAAACAAGCCTAGATCCTGCTGACATGACATCCTATTTACCCTTCTCAAAAATGTTTTCCTTTTTGTAAGAATAGAGGTTATTATCAGACGTATTGATTTCAAGACAATCTGTGTAACAGCCTCTTTACAGTGGATATTGATTTGTCCAGTAGAGGGTTCTCTAATGTCACTGACTTAAGACAAATCATTCGTCCACAGCAGCACAGAGGGGGAGACAGATACAGACATACATAACACGGATATTTCAATGTATTCAAACCTCCTCGTGGCTTATAGCACAACAGAGAACAATAGGCCTGCAGACACTGTGACAACACATGCTTCTGAATTAGCATTTAAATTTATTGTAGAGTAGCAGCGATATTTTAGTTTGTGCATTTTTCAGGGAGTTTATAATGAAAAGTTTACAAGTGCAAAAAGAGATCCACTCATATCCTAAATGGGGGAGAATGGGGTTTATTATCAAAGAATTTACTATATAGAAAGAATATTTGAAATAGGAAATATTATCTAGTTAAAAACATTGTTCACTTCAAGTCTGTATATATTATAATACAACAGTTGATACATGTGCATATATAATATATACTAAATTCATAAAACTTAAAAAATAGAAAAGGTACAAAAATAGCAAACTTACAACAATATCAAACCATTGAATTTTATTGTGGCCAACAGCTAAACTTTAAAACTTTATTCTTATTTAAAGGGTTTTTGCTTTTTTTGTCCACTTCAAATGGATATTATATTATATTATATATGGGGTTTTGCTCAATTTAAAGAGAAAATTTATTCATGAAACAACAAAAATGGAAACGGTAACAATATCAGACAGATAAAAACATGCTTTTATTGTGTCATTTACATACTGTATACTTGTATGAATGTAATCTTCCTTAACACACAAAAAAATATATTTTTGAATAATGTTGGCAACCAACAGTTGCTGGTAGCCATTGACTTCCATAGTATATATTTTTTCTCCATACTATGGAAGTCAATGGCTACCAGCAACTGTTTGATTACCAACATTCTTCAAAATATCTTCTTTTGTGTTGAACAGAAGAAAGAAACTCATAAAGGTTTGGAACGACTTGAGGGTGAGTAAATGATGACAGAATTTTCATTTTTTGGGAGAACTGTCCTTTTAAAACCTTACAGTTACTTAAATCACCCTTGTAGCATCTTCCTAGTGTGACAACTACTGTAGCCCCGATCTATTTTAGTAAACATCTGGGCAGAGGCACCAGATGTGTTTAAATGAATTCTGGGCAAACACATTACAGAAATGTTACAGATATAATTTATGTGTTAACATTCCAGTGACCTTTGAGACAATAGTGACCATCTGTCTGTTCAGGAAATGCCCAGTTAGAGCGTATTCCTGCTGTTCAACAGGAAACAGACCCAGCTGGTACATATGCATTTACATATCCAATGCAATGTAGGTGTGATATCTGATTACTCATTGGAGGAAAAATCTCCATGGAGCAATGCATGATTCATTCCCATAGCAACGGAGACAGTGTTTTGAAGGATGCTGGAGACCTTTCCCAGAATTCTGTACAAGGTGAGAAGGAGGAGCAACATCATAGAAGGGCAACCTGCTGATAAATGCAATCTGGATGGTGTCTGTAACATTAGCTCAGCACCATCCCACCACAGCGCTGACTCTCGCAATTAAAAACAACATCTGGCAGACTCAGAGGATTAAAAGCAGCATTATGACATGGCATTAGAACAAACACCCAGATAGTCAGTGCAAAACAGCTCACTTTAACTGCAGTTTCACAAGCTCAACATCACTCGGACAGCAGCACAAAAAGACAAAAACAGATAAACACAGACTGAAACCAAAGAGAAAGTGATCCAACCTCTCCTCAGCGTTTCACAGATGCCCTCGACGACAACAAAACATATATCTCACCGTTCGTGGCAGTGGACAGGTATGTTCCAGCTCCTCCATGATTTCTGGAGGGTCCAAGCCAAACAGGATGTGACTCCACCTGTACCTGACTCAGCATCAGCCTGGAGACGCTTTTCTAGCCGTTAGCCGAGCCGCGGTCAGGGATGCTCTACTCCAGCCAGGGTCTAGTTCCCGCCCACGCGCCTCTCTCATCCTCTTCTGGCAGGACCCGCCCCTCCTCAGCTCCCCTCACGGTGAATCCGGCTCCTCCCTATGCCCACACACACACAGGACCTCAACGATCGCACAACAACAACAAGGAAGAGAGCCTGTTGAGGGCAATGGCAAGTCTGGGGAGGACCAATCAGCAAACATGCTCTCCTTTCTCATTTACATACCAGAGTGTGATTGGCTGAGCAGGCTATAGCACCATCACTGTGAACCCCGCTGCTGAGCATCTCTGATTGTTCTTCATCTTCCTTCATCATTGTGGTGCATCACAAAGGCTTGCTGAAAAAGACAACAATACCGTTTTTAAATTTGGTCAGTAACAAAATTGAAGTGTGATACTTATTTATCAACCTAAACATTTAGATATGACAATGAGGCATAAACTCTAAGGCAGTTTCTTTAAACAAGAAGAGCTTTTTAGCTTTTGAAACTTTACTATGGTTTTGTGTTGAGACTCACTATACCTCTGCAAATAGTGGATAGTAACGTCACTTTTCATCATCATCAAGGATGTTTAGTACGGTTTAAATCCCACCTGATATGTTCACGAATTTATTAGGTAAAATGTTATCTTCCTTCTCATGCCAAATAAAAACAACCAGGTTACACATTAAAAAAGAGGTTTTTATTTCATGTGATATTTTTGACATGTATTGGAATGATTTTGTTTGCTATACTGAACTGCTAGAAATTAAGTTTCAAACCAGTTTTAACCATAGGTTAAACCATTTTAAGCTATACAAAACAAGTACCTTAGCGAATATGAATGATATATATTTGTTCATATTTTTATATGCAAGTTTATTTATATATATATATATATATATACACACACACATTTAATTTGATATAGTTATAACACATTACAAACAATATCCAATTAATATATTACTTAATATTTAAAATAATCTAAATACATATATGATAATATAATTAATATTCATAAGTTTAGTGAAGTTTTGAAAACATTCAGCATTTACTACTTGAAATTGATCAGTTTAGCGAAGATCACAATTTTAAATGCTGGTTCGCAATTATTATTATTATTATTATTTATTTATTTATTTAAAAAAAAGACAAATGTCATCAACATTTTTAATTTATATATAGTTTTGCATTTTTAGGGAGGAGTGTTGAAAAGGAGGAAGGGAGCAATGCTGAAAAACGGTTCATATTTTTAGATGCACATTTAATTTAATTTATAATACATTATAAACAATTTCCTATTAATATATTACTTTAAAATATAAAAACATATAAATACATTTATAATAATATAATTAACATTCATTAATTGAACATCAATTACGCCATCTGATAAATATTACTACAGTTCTCTGCTGCTTATATTATATTACATTACATTTATGTTCATTATATATTATAATGTTTGGGGGTTTTTTGTTTTGTTTTGGCACTGGGATTTATTTTGGGTTTCAAAAATATTTTGAGAACATTTCAGTTGTTATACACTTGGTGGAGCCATTGTTTCAATTTTAGTGCGTTTGAACATGGCACCAAGTGGTTATTTAACAAAATTACAAGATGCTACCGAATAAAATAAGCGTTGTAAATTAGATATAATAAATTTAGAAGCATGTTAGAAGCATCTGTGATATTTGTTAATATTTTCCCATACAGCTTCCATCCATTTACTCTCTGCTGTCAACCCATTGGCTAACAAAGTTAACAAAATGAATAATTTTGATTTAAATGATCTTCATATTAGATGATAATGTTTCATAACAAGCAGAGAGATGAAGAGAATGACACACACACACACACACACACAAAAACTTTCCTTTGACTGCCATTTCCCTGAACCATATCTCCTGTTGCTTTCATTCAGTACTCATACAGCACAGGCAATTATTTCAGTCACAAGACAGAACAGAAGTGCTTTGAAGAGCAACCCCCACCCTCAGAGAGGAACAGTGTGGTCCAGGAGAGCTGGCGAGAGATTTGATATCCTCTTATGTGTTTCATGTGAGCTCCTCTCCTCATCAGCATGAAGACCGTGTCTCTCTTTCCTCTTAGACTCGGGGTATGTACTTTTGACTGCTATATCCCTGGAGACTCTGACGGCAACAGTACGGTGACCGAGAAGTGCTAAACAAATCACAATTCTGAAAACAAAATAACAAATTACAAACGCAAATGCAAGTCTAAAAAACAAAATAACAATTCAGAAAACACAATTGTAAAACATCAGCTCCAGTGGTGCAGATGGTTAAGCGCTTGATGTTGGCTTTTTGAGCGATCGATCCCGCCTTTTGCCAAACTTTTTTTCTCCCTTTTCAAATCTCGTATTAGCAATGGATTATATTTACACTAAGTGAAAATAGCAGTATTTTTAGCAATATGCTATTTACACTGCTTGTACTTATTTGAACGATGTCTAAGAACTTGGTATTACAACCACTTCCTGTGTCTGTTTGCCTCTTTAAGAAGAATCGCTTTATGTATCCCCCAATTGTAAGTCGCTTTGGATAAAAGCGTCTGCTAAATGACTAAATGTAAATGTAAATGTTATTTTGTTTTCAGAATTGTGATTTGTTTAGCACTTCTCGGCCACCGTACAACAGTACTGAGAATAGCATTTCCATCAGTGTGGCCGTAGTTAATAGATTCTCCTCTGACGGCTTGTGAAGCAGCTGTGCTCCAGCTCAAAAATGTTATCAGTCCTGTTTCATAGTCAAATGGAGAATAAACAGGAAGATCATCTACAAAGATAAGAGACTCTCGCAAGGCGTTGAGAGAGTATGTAAAAAAAGAAGTAGAAGAAATCAAATTTTTGAGGCAATTGCAATGGGACATAAGTGTGCTGAATCAAGGTTAAGGATATTCTTGAATACTGAGATTCTCCTGAGTATTGTTTGCCGTAATCTGCTTAAATGACATTCATTTCATTCTGGTCTCAGACATTTAAAAACAAACTAATTAATTTTTCATTTAGACATGCAAAATAATACACTGCAAGGAAAATGCATGCTCATATATTTTCTAATTAATCTAAATGTTAATTAGCACTGTAGCATTCTTCCTTAACGAGAAAGTTAGTTCAAGACACATTTTAGGAATATTGCAGGCTAAATACAAGTTTTAAAAGCATAGTTTACTCAAATGAAAAATCCTTTTTTATTCTTACGCATAAACATATGTAGGCTATTAAGTTATTTTTTTTTATTCATAATTTAATTACAGTGCTCTTTCCACAGGTTACATCGTTCCGTCAATAGGTGGCGAAAAGTGAATCATTGAATCAGTCACGAAACCGATTAATTCAAAGCAATGATTCATTCAGAAACGAAATTGAGACACACACGGTCATTCTCCTGTGGAATTGTTTGCAATTATTTTCGGCGGCGCAGCAAAAAGTGATGAAGCAACTGTCGACATTGTATCTAAAATGTAAGTTGCTCAATGTCAAACACTTGAACTGTTTAATTTAGAAATATCACACTCACCTCTGGCAGGAGGTTGTAAGTTGCGCCTACTTCGAGTGTCAATCGTGGCGTTCGTGACACGCAGAAAAACTTTAAAATTTTCAAGTTAAATTAAGTGCGTTGGTAGGCATGGCAGCCAGATCACAGTGTTCCTGCACCGCTTTCGACGGCTCTCCTCACTCACTAGCTGTCCGCAAAAACATGTTGAAATAGGGGCATCGACATACCCTTTTTGTTGAAGCACGAGCCCCTGTAAAATATTTCTAATAAATCCTTGTCTGATAGTGGAGATTACACCGATCTGAGAATCATTTTCCCTGATAATACTTGACCAATCATTTTCTGTCTGCTGTTTCAGAGTCAGAACTACCCTGTTAAAAAACCAGCATATGCTGGTTAGGTATGTTTTGAAGCTGGGATGCTGGTTTGAGCTGGTCCTTTGCTGGTTTAAGCTGGTCCTTTGCTGGTTTATGCTGGTCCTTTGCTGGTTTATGCTGGTCATGTGCTGGTCTTAAGCTGGTCGGACCAGTTGTGTCTGTATGATATAATTGTTCATATATCTATTAAAATACTGATATCGTGCAGTGTGAACTCGGCATTATCCCGTGCAAATGCAACACAGCTCTTTATTGCCCGCGCAGCTTGTGAACGAACAACAACGTTTAAATCCAAAACGTTTTTAATAAAGAATATCCATATATGGAGTAGGGCTGTGCAATTAATCGCATGCGATTGTCATGCGCATCTCGTCAATAAAGACTGTTCCGTGATTAGAGTGTGAATTATCAAAGACTCGATCTGAGGCAATCGCCAACACATCGCCGACGCCCGCAAAATATTTGGCATGCTAAATATCTGGAGCTGTCGGCGATTCACAATCACGCTGTGTG